GTTACCATAGCAACTGTAGAATCACAACACATCAACTACTGTTATTGTTGTTGTGTTACCATTGCAACTGTAGAATCACAACAAATCAACTATTGTTATTGTTGTTGTGTTACCATAGCAACTGTAGAATCGCAAGAACAGATCAATTACTGTTGTTGTTGCAAGACCATAGACACTACAGAATCACCACAACAGATCAATTGCTATAGTTGTTGTGTTACCATGGCAACAGTAGAATCACCACAACAGATCGATTACCATTGTTGTATTACCATAGCAACTACAGAATCACCACAACAGATCAATTGCGATAGTTCTTGTGTTACCATTGCAACTGTAGAATCACCACAACAGATCAATTACTACTGTTGTGTTACCATAGCAACTGTAGAATCGCAACAACAGATCAATTACTGTTGTTGTTGTTGCGTGACCATAGCAACTACAGAATCACAACAGATCAATTGCTATAGTTGGTGTTACTATAGCAACTGTAGAATCACCACAACAAATCGATTACTATTGTTGTGTTACCATAGCAACTATAGAATCACCACAACACATCAAGTATAGTTATTGTTGTTGCATTACCATAGCAACTACAGTACTACCACAACAGATCAATTGCTATTGTTGTTACCATAGCAACTGTAGAATCACTACAACACATAAATTACTGTTATTGTTGCTGTGTTACCATAGCAACCACAGAATTGCTACAACAGATCAATTACTAAAGTTGGTGAGTTACCATAGCAACTTTAGAATCACCCCAACAGATCAACTACTAAAATTGGTGATACTAAAGCAACTGTAGAATCACAACAGATCAATTACTTAAGTTGTTATCATAGTGACTGTAGAATCGCCACAACAGATCAATTACTACTGTTGTGTTACCATAGCAACTGTAGAATCGCAACAACACATCAATTACTGTTGTTGTTGTTGCGTGACCATAGCAACTACAGAATCACAACAGATCAATTGCTATAGTTGGTGTTACTATAGCAACTGTAGAATCACCACAACAAATCGATTACTATTGTTGTGTTACCACAGCAACTGTAGAATCACCACAACAGATCGATTACTATTGTTGTGTTACCATAGCAACTATAGAATCACCACAACACATCAAGTATAGTTATTGTTGTTGCATTACCATAGCAACTACAGTACTACCACAACAGATCAATTGCTATTGTTGTTACCATAGCAACTGTAGAATCACTACAACACATCAATTACTGTTATTGTTGCTGTGTTACCATAGCAACCACAGAATTGCTACAACAGATCAATTACTAAAGTTGGTGTGTTACCATAGCAACTTTAGAATCACCCCAACAGATCAACTACTAAAATTGGTGATACTAAAGCAACTGTAGAATCACAACAGATCAATTACTTAAGTTGTTATCATAGTGACTGTAGAATCGCCACAACAGATAAAGTTGTTGTGTGACCATAGCAACTATAGAATCACCACAAGTGATTATCTGAAGTACTTTACTACCGTGTGGTTCAAAAACACTACAGTATTTACTTTAAATGACTATAGTATTTTTTCAATTGGCTGAAGTGTAGTAATGAGCATTACATTGTACATTTATATAGAAGTTTTTTCCATCAAATCTTTTGTCAAAGATGTTTTTTTCAATACGCTTTGAGCAAAACACTCTGTATTGAATCTAATCTGTCCATGATGAGGATGAGCGTCTCACTGCAGGATGTGGAGCGTCGTCTGTTTACACCACACACTTCAACAGCAGAACAGGAGTCAGACACAAGCAGGCCTGTTTTGTGTATTACTAAGATTTCGCTAGTTGACATTCACAGTATATATTCAGCATGGACTACAGATGGATGCTTTAAAATTGCTGGTGAACTTTCGTGTTTTTAGAATTTTTGCTCAGTTTCTAGAAAGGATTCGTATGCGGGACTCTCAGATACACGTCATCTTACGTCTATGAAAATAAATATATGGCAAAATCCTCTGACGTGTTTCTACCGATTGCATTTGCGTACACCCAAACACACAACGTTCTCCAGAATGAACAAACACACACTCACAACGGCCATGTTTGAAACCTGGAGGGAGAACTGGACCTGGCTGCTAAACATAAGCTTCATTTGCAGAGTCAGAAACACATTAAACCCTTGTAAAAGTGGAGTGAATCTGGATTAAGTGCAACGTGAACACCAACAATAAACTGCAGATTGAAAAGCAGGGGCCTCGTTTATCAGACACACGCAACACAGATACAGACGTGGATTTAAAACTATAACTATTGTGAAAAGTGCTACACAAATACACTTGAACTGAACTGGTGTTGTTTTGTTGTTGTTTTTGTACTATAAATAATCCAACACTGAAAATGTAGAGAAAACTAAGCAGTAACTATATGAATTTGTATTATAACACAAGTGATCGATATCTTTTCTACACAGTGTATGTAATGTTAATATGAATGTGTGTGGCAAACAATACATTCAGCCCAGGCTCATTGTGGAAATGTAGTCCCGCGGACGTTTCTGGAGACCGCGGAATACGTCCCGGCGGGTACGTACGGCTGCAGTTTTTGTTTTTGCGAATCCGCGAGAGGCAACTGTTGTGCGCTTTTTGCATCTCAGATGCCTCTCGCGAGTGCGGTTCGCGCCCGCGCTGTTCTCGCGTGAACCGAGCGGAGGCCGCTGTCCGACTGACTGGATGATTGACTGCGCGACCGGCCAATCGGCTGACACGCCCTCCTCCTTCTCTGAACCCAACCAATTTTACCGATCGACCCGCCCACCCGCTCGCTTCCCTAAACCCAAGCAACAGTTTACAAAAAGCCGTCCAAAAAAATAAAAGCCCTGATTTTTTTTTTTTCTACCGCGTTTTCGGATTTCACCGCGTTCTCACCCTGTTACGAAACTCGTTCTCTTAATTTTTGGGATTCTGTTTTTGTCTTACCTGATTGCTGGAACCGCTCTTCCCCGGACTCGAAACCGGTCGCCGTGGTCGACTCCTCTCTGCATCTCGAGCCTGCCGACATACACGGTGAGCTGAGTGGACAAACGGGTTGCAGCAGGGAAGCCCTCCACAAGGAGGTAAGCGGTCGACTGGCTGGCCGGCAAGCGCAATAGGGAACAGCATCACACCGCCCCTTAGCATTCGATTGAAAAAAAATTTCAAGCGACTACATTTTCAGAATGAGCTTGGGTTGAATACATTATATGGTTAAAATGACAGACTTTTCTTTCTGCTAATACTCTAATAATGACAATTATATGACATGTAGTCTCAATGATAAGTCGCTCTGGTCAAAAGCGTCGGCTAAATGACTGAATGTAACATTTGGTCAACAAAAGGGACCATCAAAATAAAGTCATAACCAATAATTGATGCCTGTCCATTGAATGAACACAAAATAATGCACAACTGAGGTGTAACAAACAGTCTGCTTCACATCAAAACCTCCGTTGTGCAGTATTGTCTAATAATTCAATAGTCCATAGTCTATTATTCCTTACTTATACTACGGTCTGTTGAATGCTTCATTCTGATTGGCTGATGAGCAATACAAGGTGTGCCATTATTTTCAGATAAATGCACAGCTAAAGTAGTTCTGGCAGGTGTTGAGCGCATAACAGATCAACTGCTATAGTTGTTGTGTTACCATAGCAACTGTAGAATCACCACAACAAATCGATTACTATTGTTGTGTTACGATAGCAACTACAGAATCACCACGACAGATCAATTGCTATAGTTGTTGTGTTACCATAGCAACTGTAGAATCACCACAACAAATCGATAACTGTTTTTGTGTTACCATAGCAACTACAGAATCACCACGACAGATCAATTGCTATAGCTGTTGTGTTACCATAGCAACTGTAGAATCACCACAACAAATCGATTACTATTGTTGTGTTACCATAGCAACTACAGAATCACCACGACAGATCAATTGCTATAGTTGTTGTGTTACCATAGCAACTGTAGAATCACCACAACAAATCGATTACTGTTGTTGTGTTACCATAGCAACTACAGAATCACCACGACAGATCAATTGCTATAGCTGTTGTGTTACCACAGCAACTGTAGAATCACCACAACAAATCGATTACTATTACTATACTGAATAGTTTAGTTTTAAACAGCATGCGAATGTGTGTGCGATATTTCCAACAGTCATGTGCCGTGTCGCAGCGCATCTGGTGTGTGACCCGCTTTAGAGTTCGTTCACAGCTACACCAGTCAAAAAGCACAACAGAAGGCTTTGAAGGAGAGGTGGAAGAAACTAGTCCCACTACCCCAGCGTTCACCATCGCATAAGCAGAATAATTAATGCCGATACACTGAATTACTAGCGCGGGTGTGCATTATGTTCTAATAATTCAACACACCGTCATAAATGTTTCAATATTCAATGTTTGTCTGTATAAATGAGGCCCCGGCTTTTATTTCTCGCATTTGTAAAGATCATTAGAAAGGGGTAGTTCACCCTAAAAATGAAAACGTGCATTTCTTTCTTCTATTGAACACTGTAGCGAGTGGGCGGGGCCAAGGGCTGCGGGAACGTGATGAGGCCCAAGAGTCCCGCGGAGGAACCTGGATTATAAAAGGAGGAGAGACAGCAGTGGAGGACTTTGTTTTCCTTTCAGATTGGCGTCAGTTTCCGTGAAGAGCTGCCGTCTGTTTGTTTTATTCATTCATTCATTCATTTTCTTTTCAGCTTAGTCTCTTTATTAATCTGGGGTCGCCACAATGGAATGAACCGCCAACTTATCCAGCATGTTTTACACAGCGGATGCCCTTCCAGCTGCAACCCAGTACAGGGAAACACATTCTTATTCACACTCATACACTACGGTCAATTTAGCTTACCCAATTCCCCTACAGCGCATGTGTTTGGACTGTGGGGGAAACCCACGCCAACACGGGGAGAACATGCAAACTCCACACAGAAATGCCAACTGACCCATCCGGGGCTCGAACCAGCGACCTTCTTACTGTGAGGCCACAGTGAGAACCACTGAGCCACCATGCCGCCCTCACAAAAGAAGATATTATGAAGAACCATTTCAAAACAAGAAGAGAGTAAATAATGCAGAAGTAAAATTTCTGAGTGAACTACCCCCTTAAATCCTCCTTTATGATGACCAATGATGCACACACACACACACACACGCACACACACACACACACACACACACGCACACACACACAGAAAAAGTTCTTTAAATCCTAATGTCCGCTCGAGCCCACAAACTACACGGTAGTTTCGTTCCTCCAGGGCCCGGTGCGTATATTCCCAATGCTGTCGGACGGGTAGAGCGCGCTGGCTTTCAGGATGCCGTTCTGACTGGGCACCGACTGTCTGCGCGCCTGCAGCTCCACATGATGCAGATCCTCCTGCACCGGCTTCCCACACACACACACGCACACCTCGCTGGCGTCCGGCGCGCACGACAGATCCTCGTCGGCGCAGCACACGTGGTGATGGCAGAGCGCCAGGGCCTCGTGATGGCAGACGTGGTGGCAGATGTGTGTGTGCGGGCTGCCGTGCACGCTCTCGGGAATGTGAAATGAAAGTTCCCGCTCTCGCCGGCGAGTCTTAGTCCTGATTGGTGGTTTAATGCAGCGGTGCATCCGGTAGCCCTGCGGATCTGCATGCAGCAGCACATGCGGCGCTTCGTCGTCCTCCAGGATCTGCTGCGTGTGTAGTGCGCCGCAGCACGGAGACACCGGCGTCTGTGCGCATCTGCATGCACAGTGCGAGTGGCTGAGGATGGATTTGGGAGCGTCCGCGCGCATGTGCGTGTCTCCGTTTGCATTGATCTTTTTAATCCGTGCGTGCTGTGGTTTAGCGCGCCGCCCCGGGCAGCAGGCGCACCAGCAGTGCCACACGTCGTCTCTCTTGGCGCAGTGATGAATGAGCACGAATAATCCCAGCGTGACCGAGAAGGCTCCGTACAAACAGCTGAAGATCATGTCTAGGAAGTGCGCTTGGGAGACAGCGAGGGCGCCGAACGTCCAGGTGGAGATGAAGAGGAAGAGTGTGAACGCCGCCGTGCGCAGCTGGGCTTTGAAGGAGTGCTCGTTCGCCAGCGTGGACGGGTTGATGAGTCCCGGGCACCCGCCGTGGCACTGCCCGCTGTCCGCCGCTGTTTCCGCCGGGTGCGTGTGTGTGTCCGCCAGCCGCTGCGTCTCCTCGCGCAGACTCTGCAGCTCGTACCTGCGCTCGGGGTGCTTGCGCAGCTGCATGAAGGCGCACAGGAAGTAGACGCAGGTCACCAGCAGGATGAAGGAGACCGGGCCGTAGAACGCTCCCAGACTGGGCTCCCACGCCATCCAGCAGCTGAAACACACACACACACACACACATGATCAAACACACACACAGATACACATGCACACACACAGACACACACACACATATATATGATTGCACACACACATACAAATGCATGCACATGCACAAACAGAAATAAACACAAACACACACATACAGACACACATTTTCGCATGCGTTCACATGCACAAACATACACATAAATAAACACACAGATACGTATACACACAAACACATAGAGACCCATACGCACACAGACAGACAGACACACAAAAATACACATATACACACACAGAAAGACAGTTAGACACACACACATAAACAAACATGCACAAACACAAATAAACATGCAGATATGATTGCACACACACACACACACACATGCACATGCCCAAACACAAATAAACACAGTGTGTACACACACACACACACACACACATGCATGCACATGCCCAAACATACACACAAATAAACACACACAGATACGTATACACACACACACACATAGAAACCCATACGCACACAGACAGACAGACACACAAAAATACACATATACACACACAGAAAGACAGTTAGACACACACACATAAACAAACATGCACAAACACAAATAAACATGCAGATATGATTGCACACACACATGCATACATGCACATGCTCAAACACAAATAAACACACAGATACGTACACACACACACACA